ATGGGATGAACCAGCCGGAGAGATCTGAGTGAGCCTTTACCTAAGCAGAGAGGTCTTCTGCTCTGAAAAGTCAGTGTTGAGAAGGAGGCTAGGTACCCTAATAACTCTCCTCCCCCCCACTTCATGGATGAGGAAAATGAGGCCTAAAGAATCACCTCATCCACAATCAGGCAAAGGCAGGTCTCTTGACTTCTGAAGGACTCTGCCCCTTTTACCTCCCAAATCCTGTTTTATGACACTTACATCTTACCAGACATCCAGAAATTATGACCCAGCCATCAATTTGGTTGACTATAGAGTTAGTAACCGGTCACGAGTCCTTGAGCAAGCTGCTTATGTTCTCTGATGCGTGCTGATTTGCCAAGCTTTCCTGGTTGTGAGGGCCTAGGTGGGGGTTCTTTGGGGGAGTTATTTAACAACACTAAACCTCAACTTCACTTAAGGTGTAAGGTTGTTATGAGTGTTAGATGTTCCGCAAAAAATGTTTAGGAAAATCCCTGGGCCAGTAATAGTAATTAGCAAGTATTAAGACTTTTCTATATGGGAGACTGCCAGTCAAGATGGCAGAGTAGGTAAACACCGTGCTTTCCTTCTCTCACAACCACATTAAAATTACAACTAAACTAGAAAAAATAAAAAATAAATAAAATTACAACTAAACTACAGAAGAGCCATCATTGAAAAGCGCCTGAAGTCTACCTGAACAGAAGTCCTAAAACTAAGGATATACAGAAGAAGCCATGTCGAGGCTGTTGGAAAATAAAAGAATTTTAAAAAAAAAACCAAAAGACCTTTCTATATTGGCTAGGCCTTGGGGAAGATGCTTTTGTCTCATAATTTTCATAGCAACCTTACTAAGTAGCTTCTTTTCACTCTTGTTTTTACAGAAAAATACAGGAAGCCAAAAGAAGTTAAATCCCTCAAGATCACAGCCTGTAAATCAGCGGTTCTCAACCTGTGGGTCGCGACCCCTTTGGGGGTCTAACAACCCTTTCACAGGGGTCGCCTAAGACCATCGGAAAAACAAAAAGATACATTACGATTCATAACAGTAGCAAAATTACAGTTATAGAGTAGCAACGAAAATAATTTTATGGTTGGGGGTCACCACAACATGAGGAACTGTATTAAGGGGTCGCGGCATTAGGAAGGTTGAGAACCGCTGCTGTAAATGGTATAACCAGGATTTAAACTCAGGCCCTTTCTGACTCCAGAACCCACTTATAACCAGTAAGATGGTTGCTGTCGTTATTAAGAACAAATGAGGTGGTGTTTGGTGTGCAGCCACTTTTTTGAGGGGAAAGGAGAAGTGCTTCCCCATCTTGCCTCCTCCTGTGAGTCATCTCTCTGCTTTCCATCCCCTCTGTTGTGAAAAGGTGACAGGGACTTTTATAAGTTCTTGATTCAAGGACAGGTAAGGCAGCCCAGGAGTAAACAATAGAACTGAAGTTGTGGGGAGGGGGATGGTAAGGCAAGCTGGATTCTAGGCTTGGCTTTAGCAGCTCGGGGTTCTCAACCAAGTCCCACCTCCCTTATATCTTGATTTCTTCATCTGTAAAATAGAGATGATTTTCCCACTGTGCCCACCTCTCAGGGCTGTTTCAAGGATCAAAGGAGGAGCCTTAGTACCCATGTCAGTGTCTGTTGTTAGGATCAAGGACTTACACATTAGCAGATGATTCTGAATATAATGGGGGCTGGTCATGACTGGACTCTAAGCCTATGTGAACTATTCCTAGTGGGACCATTTATATCTTTTGATTATACATCAAACACTCCAGACAGGACAGTGTGATAGGTGTTATCCTAGAGTTATAAACAATGCACTGAAAAAGTGCAAAGGACTCTTCATGGAGAATTCCTGAAAGGCTTCATTCACAGAGGAGCAGGTATTTGAGCCTGGTCTCAAGGATGAATAGGAGTTAAAGGGAAAAGTGGGAAAGGGCATTCTAAAAAGTACGACGTGCAGAAACAAAAGAAGTAAGAAATGATAGGAGATGGGGATGAAGAGGGAGGCTGGAACCAGAAGGTTGTCATAAGGAGGAAGGAACTATCCTGCAGAGGGTGGGAACCCAAGGGAGATTTTTTTTTAAGAAATTTTATTGGGGGGCCGGCCAAGTGGATCAGTTGGTTAAGAGCTCGCTCAAGAGTGTGAGCTCTGAGCAACAGCGATTCGATTCCCAGCCCGAGCTGAGCAGCCGCTGAGCTGCCAACAGGTAGCAGGATGGCTCAGCTTAAAAAAAAAAAAATTTATTGGGGAACTGTGTTTTTCCAGGACCCATCAGCTCCAAGTCAAGCAGTTGTTTCAATCTAGTTGTGAAGGGTGTTTCTCCATGACCCATCAACTCCAAGTCAAGTAGTTGTCTTCAATCTAGTTGTGGAAGGTACAGCTCCTCGGCCCATGTGGAAATAGAATCGGCAACCTTGGTGTTATGAGCCTGCGCTCCAACCACCTGAGCTAACCGGCCGCCCCCCATGGGAGGTTAAATCCTCTCCAAATACACTGCTAACACTCAACTCCAGCCCACAGGACTTGCCTAGACCACTGCAGTAATTTCCCAGTACTCAGCAACCCTATCCATCCCATCCCAGTACCTAGAGTAATCTCTTAAAGAGATAAAGTCAAATGTGACTTTTAATAGCCTCCCATTGTACTTAGAATGAAACCCAGATCCCCCTCCAAGACCACCATGCATGATGTCCTTCCTGCCTTCCTCTTCTCTGCCCCTCCCTCACTGTGCCTTTCCTGACTCCCAACCTAAAGTAGGGTCCCCAGCCACATTCTTCTCTATTACTGCTGCCCCTGGTTCCATCAGGGCACCTGTCATATTCATTTGGGGAACTATGTTAGGACAGTTGACAGAACTCCCCTCTCCATGCCCTAGTTACTTTCTCTCAACCCCCCTGCTTATTTTCACAGCAATCCCCACAATTTGAAATCCCCTAGATTATTTATTTACCTATTTTGTGCCAGTTTTTATCATTTACCCTACATATATTTGGAGCAGAGTTTGGTGCATGGCAAATATTTGTTGATTGAATGAATGATCTGAAAAATTATAAGATACGGACTAGAGAGGAGAAAGACCAGGAAAAGAAAACTAAGTGGGGAAAACTGCTATGATCATGCCGGCAAGAGAGAAAGGGCCTCATGCAGGGCAGGGTCAGAACACACAGCAGTGCTGATGTGCTCCAGACAATTCCAAATTGGAACCAAAAGGCATTAGTGGCCAACCAAATATGGGGGGTGAGAAAGAGAAAGGGACAAGGTGACCCCCAGTGAAGGAACAAAGCAGGAAGAGTTAGTTGGGGATTGAGGGAAAGTAGAAATGATGAGTCCATCTGGACTTGTTGAGTCTGAGTTGTCTGAGGGACATCCAAATGAAGGTGTTCAGGAGGGAGTTGGATGACCTGTCCTAAGCAAGAGGCCAGGGCTGGAATTTGGGACCTGTCATGTAGATGGGACCATAGACGCCAGGAGTGGATGAGGTCACCCAAGAAAAGTGTGCAGAGGGAGGGGCCTAAAGGCCCAAACCTGGGGAACATTAAGCCTTTGAGGAACCTTCAGGGATCAACCAGAAGTGATCAGAAAGGTTAGATTCCTAGACAGAGGGGAGAGAGGAAGCCCAGGGAGCAGTCAGGGAGCTTCCGGGAGGGGATGGCAGCAACAATGTCACATCCTGCAAAGCTCTGGCAAGGAAAAAAAAGCCACTGGATTTGGCAACTAAGAGGTCATTGCTGACACTTCCAGGGTGGGGTCATCTCCGAGGTTGGGGAGGAAGCCAGATTGTGATGAATCAAGTAGTAAATGGGAAGAGACGTGGCAGAAACAGTGTGTCCTAAGCTTTGAAGAGAATTTTTCTTCTTCTTCTTCTTCTCCCCCTTCTTTATTTTTAATATGAGAGACAGTTGAATGGCCAGTCTGTTTGTATCCTCCTCTCTAGCATTTTTGGATTCTCTCTGATATCTGAATAAATTTTATTTGGGAGATGATTCTGTTCATTTTGGGCAAATAAAACATCTGAACAGTGGAAGGGTCAAAAATAACTTTGGGGCAGCAGGCAGGGTTAGGAGAAGCCCCAGTGTGAGATGTTCGAGGCATCCAGGCCCCCTTAGGGAGACTGACGGTGTAAGCTGGGCACAGGCCCACAGTGGCTGCCATCAGTTTTGAAACAGCAGGAAAATCAATGGGTGGTAACACCCAGGGCTGCTGAGAGCTCACTAGCTTCCAGGCATTGCACTAAGCACTTTAGATCTATACAACCTCCCAGGTCCTGTTATTAACCCAGTTTAATGTGAGAGGCTAAGAACTTTCCCAAGTTCATATATCTGTTTATTGGCTGGGTTGGATTTGAACATAGGTAGTTGTACTTCAGAGTCCATGCTCCTAACAGCCCCTCCTCTGTGGATCCTCTATCGCTGGCTACACAGAGTTACTGGGGGAGATTTTATAAAATACCCATACCAGGGTCCGACCCCAGATGAATTCTGGTGGGATCTCTGAGGGTAGAACCCACACATGAATCTT